AGGTTCTCGAGCATCACTCAAAACATTAACCAGCCGTGATATCCCTAATGGTGCTGTAAAGATACATTCTTGGGTTCTTTCTGGGCGTGCGCTCGATATATATGACATCAATTGTAGGGAATACAGTCGAGAATAGAACTCCTTGGAGTCCAAGAGGTCGAGGAGGATAGTTATGTTGTCTTGTCGCTACTCAACCACGTCAACAAACTTGACATTAAGCGGCATATATTTGACTTACTTGAGTAAACTCATCGGCAAGCCACAGCGCGATTTCATCAGATGCTTCCGGCTGTAATTGAAGGGTTAGCAACCTAGTTGCTAAAAAACGAACCTATGAGTAACACATACACTACTCTCATGCGGAGAAAACAGCATCAACAACGTTTCTAGGACCACCTTAATAGTATCAACATCTTCCCCATCATTCCTCAGACTGTTTATTAATGGACGAAGTGCACCGGACGAAACAGATGCGGGATATTCCTTTGCAAAACTCCGAAGGCCTAAAATGGCTGCTCTGCGGTCTTCCAGTAATGTCGCGCTCTGCAATCTATTGCTTAGAGTATTAATAGTATCCGTCGCCGTCTGTCTGGCCGGAGCTTGGGACTCGAGAATTCGAAACATGGCAGCGTGTGGGTGCTAATAAAACGCATGGTCGCCACAGACCGAATGTTCCATAAGTTGAGCTCAATTCAAATGACTTCCCCCACAACGCTATCCGCCCCCTCACCGTGTGATTGTATCAGAGAGGCAAATCACAGCCAAGGGCTATAATATATGCAGTCCCAACCTCGAACTGATTTCGAACGTACTGATAGCTGTCGAACAGCACAAGCAAGAGTACACCTGTCCACCGGGCCCTGAGCGATATCACGTGTGTGTATGTTGCGGAACATTATTTTTCCTGCCAGACCGAAGTTAGTTCTGCTTCAAATTCTCCAAAGCATATTTCAATCCTAATCATTCGCAACCAACCTTCAAGTCCTACAGCTGGCTTCGAATTGAGCTTTCCTTCTTACTATCGTTTTTTGTGTTACTGTGTATAGAAGCGCCAGGCACAAATGGTTCATCTGACATACATATTCGTTGCGAACCATACATATTCATCGCAACTCCTTAAGACCCACGCCTCGCGACCATCGCAACACGGCTGAGCCGGGAGCGATAGAGAAGAGATCGACTTTTTCATAGAATACTACTACTAATTACCATTAATATGGGTGTTCCAGCACTTTTCCGGTGGCTATCCTCGAAATACCCCAAAATCATATCCCCCGTCGTGGAGGAAATCCCGCAGGAAATTGATGGCGAAGAGGTCCCTGTAGATACAACGAAGCCAAATCCAAATGGCGAGGAAATGGACAATCTATACTTGGACATGAATGGAATTGTCCATCCATGTACACATCCTGAGGGCAAACCCCCTCCTGAAACCGAGGAAGATATGATGCTGGAGATCTTCAAATATACCGATCGAGTTGTGAACATGGTCAGGCCCAGGAAGCTATTGATGATTGCTGTTGGTATGTCGCTGACACGCATGGAAATGAGATATCTCCCTTCGGACCAATACATTATCTCATAATAATGATCTGTTGTCACGGAGGGGGGTACAGCTTTCCATTTCCTTATTATTATTTCCCGCGACACCCTTACACATATATAGTATATGAACTGGCCTCGCTAACGATTTTTATCCGGTTCTTCCCAGACGGTGTTGCTCCACGTGCGAAAATGAACCAGCAACGTTCTCGTCGATTCCGCTCTGCTCAAGAAGCGAAGGAAGCTGATGAAAAGAAAGAGGAGTTCGCAAAGTTACTGAGGAAACAAAATGGAAACAAAGGCGGCGAAGGGCTAGTGGAGGAAGTCATTACGAAGACGTGGGACTCGAACGTAATTACTCCTGGAACACCTTTTATGGACATTCTTGCTGCAGCTTTACGATACTGGGTAGCATATAAACTCAACACGGACCCAGCATGGGAGAAGGTTGGTCTGGTTCATTTTTTTTTCCTGCAAATATTTAACAAGCTAACCGTCTATAGCTGAAAATCATCATCTCAGATGCCACGGTTCCTGGTGAGGGTGAACACAAGATTATGGAATTCATTAGATCGCAAAGGTCCTGCACTGAGCATGACCCAAATACTCGCCATGTTATATACGGTCTTGTAAGTTTATCCTCAAATCCCTCAACCTACGGAATGGCCACTAACTTCCGCTTGTATAGGACGCTGACTTGATTATGTTGGGGCTTGCAACGCATGAACCTCACTTTCGAGTTCTTAGAGAGGATGTCTTTTTCCAAGAATCTAAAGGCAGAACTTGCCACTTGTGTGGGCAACCCGGCCATATAGCCGAAGCATGTAAAGGTCTTGCGAAAGAAAAAAATGGAGAATTTGATGAAAAAGGGAAAGGTAGTCCACTCAAACCATTTATTTGGCTCCACGTCTCTGTCCTTCGGGAATACCTTGCTGTCGAGATGCATGTTCCGCAACAGCCTTTCCCTTTCGATTTAGAGAGAGCTCTAGATGACTGGGTATTCATGTGTTTTTTCGTGGGAAATGATTTCTTGCCTCATCTACCGTCATTAGACATCAGAGAAAATGGCATCGATACTCTAATTGCAATATGGCGTGACAATATACCCGTCATGGGTGGTTATTTAACAAAAGATGGGCATGTTGATTTAGACAGGGCGCAACTTATCTTGCAGGGGTTGGCGAAGCAGGAGGATGCCATCTTCCGTCGTCGTCGCCAAACCGAAGAAAGGAAAAATGCAAACGCCAAAAGGAGGAAGGAGGAAGAAAGATTCCGAGAGGAAGAGCGCTCGCGCAAAAAGCGCAGAAGTTCTCCCAGTTATGGATCTATGGAAAACGAGCCTGTTCCTCCTCCTCTCATTGTTCCTGGAAAGGGGCATATTTCTAGGGCTGATAGGGAACTTACCCACGCCATGGTTGTGAACCGAGGGGCTGTTTACAAGGCAAATATGGCCAATAAAAGTGCCGCTGCTGTTCTTAAGAGTCAACTGGTCAAAGGTAGCGGTGACGCAGCTACCCCCGATGTTGAAGATTCCGCGGATGGTGGAGCCAAAAATACTTCACCGTTATCCCTAGGCAAGAGAAAGGCGGACGCTCTAGAAACCGAGACCGAGTCCGAAACACCCAAAAAGCCACAGGATAACGATGAACTACCTCCAGACACGGTTCGGCTATGGGAAGATGGGTACGCTGATCGGTATTACGAACAGAAATTTCGCGTTGACCCGAAAGATACTGAATTCCGTCATAAAGTAGCTAGATCCTACGTTGAAGGCCTTGCATGGGTGCTGCTCTACTATTTCCAGGGGTGCCCTTCATGGACCTGGTATTACCCGTATCATTACGCGCCTTTTGCTGCAGATTTCGTTGACCTAGGTAAAATGAACATTGAGTTTAGTAGGGGCGCGCCATTCAAGCCTTTCGAACAATTGATGGGTGTCTTGCCAGCTGCATCCAACCATGCAATTCCAGAAGTATTCCACGACCTCATGTCGGACCCGGAGAGCGAGATCATTGATTTTTACCCCGAAGAATTTCCAATAGATCTTAATGGCAAGAAATTTGCATGGCAAGGCGTCGCGCTCTTGCCGTTCATTGATGAGAAACGTCTGCTACTTGCGATGGAGAAAAGATATCCTCTTTTATCCAGTGAAGAACACGCGCGAAACACAATGGGACGGGAGGTGCTTTTCCTATCGGATCGACACCCGTTATACGACAATCTAACTGCGAACTTCTATTCCAAGAAGCAAGGAACGCCGATTTTGAAGCTGAACATGCGAGTGAGCGAAGGGCTAGGCGGCAAGGTGGAACGCAACGATGCGTACGTTCCACATAGTTCGCTAGTGCCACCTTTCGATAAAGTGGATCTCCCCACGCTCGACGAGGACCATTCCATAAGGTCAGTTCCTCCGTTACGCAAATAACAGATTTAGCCCAACTACTCTTTTTGGAGCCAAATACTAACCCAAACTAGTGTTATCTACGATATGCCCAAGTCTATGTACACTCACAAATCAATGCTTCTGAGAGGCGTGAAACCTGACCCCCCTGTACTCGACAAATCCGATATCGAAATCACCAGAAACAAAGCACAACGTTCAGGGCGCTCGTTTGGAGGAGTTCCCTTCGGCAATAACAGAGGCAGAGGTGGTCGAATGTCATACGCCAGTGACCGGCCCAGCAACGATCGACCTAATCCATTCGCAGCTCATATCAACCCCAACTTCGTGCCACCACCAATACCTCCCCCACACATGGGTGGACCTCCAGCAGGATGGGCCCCTCCTCCGCCCGGGATGACAGGCAGCTCCTATGGTACTCCCAGGTTTGATAAACCCCAACAAGGTCCTCCCTATCAACAGCAGGGCAGTCGCGGTTATTCACATCAATCTAGCCAACGTGGTCAGTACTCTCAATCATATAGCCAACCGAGGGAGTACGGCCAGGGTAGACAATATGTTCAATCGCAACAGTACGGGCAAAGGGGAGGAGGGGGGTATGGGCAACACTCTGGGGGCAACGGTAGCTCTGGCGGCGGTGGCGGTGGTCGAGGCAGAGGTGGCGGGCCCTACAGGGGTGGGGGCCGTGGACATTATCAAGGCCAGAATGGATATAATAACCGCAATGATGGGTATGGGCGGTATTGATTGTGATTATGTTGAATGATTTTGTTGTACGGCTACATGTACAGTACAAGTAACGTTAATAATACGTTATGCAATTTCAGGGAGTTCCTAATTGTCAATTTAGGAAGCACTAAAAAAAGATTTTTAATAGAATTACAGCGCACAAGATTTATGCAAATATATAAATTGACCTATACGGAAGTATTCCATCCGTCCATAAGGAGTGACCCATGAGATGGGAGGATTTTTTAAACAAACGCAGTGTGAAAAGGCAAAATCGCGCCTTGGCCGAACTCGGAGCACGAAAATTGAGTCACAGCTCCCCGGTGAAGAACAATTATGGAGCTCTGGAAACATTTATAATATTACACACATTAAAAGGCCGCCTTTGGATAAAATCTAGACACGAAATATCCCATTAACCGGCCATTCATATTTCTATACCCATAAGGGTAGTTTCAAGTCTCAATTGACAATCGTTTGCGACAGCTTCGGCTGCCCCACTAAAAACCTTCAACATCTAGCAAGCACCAGCTACAGAATGTATTCTGAGATATAAGATTGCCAATTTCGACTGTTTCTCCCCTCCACACATACGCGAACGTGACGAGAACGTCTACAACAACCCCTGTCCCTGCTACACATCGATAACATCGGGTCTCTGTTCCCAAAATTCAGGGAAACATGGGGGTTCCAACCAAGATCAGCATTCTAGGTCGCGAAAGCATTGTCGCTGACTTTGGCATCTGGAGAAACTATGTGGCTAAGGATTTATTAAACAGCTGCTCTTCTTCAACCTACATCCTTATTTCAGACACCAACATAACGCCCCTCTATCTGGACGGCTTCCAAAAGTCCTTCGACGATGCCGCAGCAAATCTCTCTCCCAAACCCCGTCTCCTCACTTACGAGATACCTCCCGGCGAATCTTCAAAATCTCGTGAAACAAAGGCGGGCATTGAAGACTGGATGCTCACCCGTCAACCACCATGCGGTCGAGATACCGTGATCATTGCCTTGGGCGGTGGCGTGATTGGGGATTTAATTGGGTTTGTGGCAGCTACCTATATGCGTGGAGTGCGCTTTGTGCAGGTTCCTACAACTCTACTGGCAATGGTTGACTCCTCAATTGGCGGCAAGACGGCAATTGATACACCCAATGGCAAGAATTTGATCGGCGCCATCTGGCAACCGCAAAGGATCTATTTGGATATGGAGTTTTTGAATACCTTGCCTGAGAGAGAGTTTATAAATGGCATGGCCGAAGTGATCAAGGTTAGTGGGTTACTATACGCTCTTCTCGTACATTACATTTAGTATGATTTTTCTTTTGTTTTCTCTCTGCTAACTCGCATGATGGCCGTGTATAGACTGCCGCAATTTCCAGCGAAGAAAAGTTTGCCGCATTGGAAGATGATGCCGAGATCATCTTGGCAGCCGTCAAGTCGAAAAATACACCAGAACGACCACGATTCAGCGGCATCGAAGAGACACTGAAAAGAACCATTTTATCCTCCGCAGAGTTCAAGGCACAGGTTGTCTCAGCGGACGAAAGAGAAGGTGGACTACGCAATCTCCTAAACTTCGGTCATTCTATCGGCCACGCTATAGAAGCTATACTAGCCCCGCAAGTCCTTCACGGAGAGTGCGTCGCTATAGGAATGGTCAAGGAAGCCGAACTAGCTCGCCATCTTGGAATCTTGAATAACGTTTCCGTATCCCGCATTTCAAAATGCCTGGCCAGTTACGGATTGCCAACTTCTCTCAAGGATGAGCGGATAAGGAAACTGACCGCTGACAAGCATTGCAGCGTGGAGCAACTAATCACATATATGGGCGTCGATAAAAAGAACGATGGACCGAAGAAAAAGGTCGTCCTTCTGTCCGCGATTGGGCGCACTCATGAACCACGGGCAAGTACGGTGTCGAACGAAGAGATCCAAATCGTGCTTGCGCCAAGCATCGAAGTTTCTCCAGGTGTTCCGAAAAATCTTAACGTCACTTGCACACCCCCAGGATCGAAAAGTATCTCGAATCGGGCCCTCGTCCTTGCTGCACTTGGGTCAGGTACATGCCGCCTCAAGAATCTGCTCCATTCAGATGATACTGAGGTTATGCTTAATGCCCTCGAACGATTAGGTGCCGCTACATTCTCTTGGGAAAATGAGGGTGAGGTGCTTGTGGTAAATGGCAAGGGCGGCAAGATGAAGGCTAGCCCCGATGAATTGTACCTAGGAAATGCCGGGACTGCGTCACGGTTCCTAACGACTGTGGCTACGCTCGCCCAAAAAAGCAGCGTTGACTCAAGTGTTCTCACTGGGAATGCTCGAATGAAGCAAAGGCCCATAGGCGATCTGGTTGACGCTCTTGCAGCCAACGGCGCCGGTGTCGAGTACCTGGAAAACTCAGGAAGTCTTCCGCTCAAGATTGCTGCTTCTGGAGGGTTCGCCGGTGGGGAGATAAATCTTGCTGCAAAAGTATCCTCTCAATATGTGTCATCGTTGTTAATGTGCGCTCCGTATGCTAAAAAGCCAGTCACCCTGAGGCTTGTAGGCGGGAAGCCTATCTCACAAACTTATATCGACATGACCACTACAATGATGCGGTCGTTCGGTATCGACGTCAAAAAATCTGAGACAGAAGAGCACACTTACCATATTCCTCTTGGTTTCTATATCAGTCCCGCAGAATATATCGTTGAAAGCGATGCCAGCTCCTCCACATACCCGCTGGCGGTTGCTGCGATCACGGGAACCTCTTGTACTGTCCCGAATATTGGATCAAAGTCGCTTCAAGGAGATGCTCGATTCGCAGTTGAAGTCCTGCGGCCAATGGGTTGCACCGTCGATCAGAAGGATTTCTCGACTACAGTCACTGGCCCTGCTAACGGAATACTGAGACCGCTGCCCAATGTAGACATGGAGCCCATGACAGATGCATTCCTGACAGCGTCAGTTCTTGCTGCTGTTGCAAGAGGTGGGGGATCGAACCACACAACACGGATATTCGGTATCGCAAACCAAAGGGTCAAAGAATGTAACAGAATTAAGGCTATGAAGGATGAACTTGCCAAATTCGGGGTCACTTGCAGAGAACATGATGATGGCCTCGAAATCGATGGCATAGACCGCTCGACACTGCGTCACCCGTCAGACGGTGTGTACTGCTATGACGACCACCGTGTTGCGATGAGTTTCAGCGTCCTCTCCTTGGTGGCTCCTCAACCGACTCTGATCCTCGAAAAGGAATGTGTTGGCAAAACGTGGCCCGGCTGGTGGGACAGCCTAGCTCAGACTTTCAAGGTGAAATTGGATGGGAAGGAAGTGGAAAAGAAGACAGGAACGGGGGGTATTGTCCATCTAGACAAACCTGCTGCATCGATCTTCATCATCGGCATGCGAGGTGCTGGGAAGACAACAAGCGGTGTGTGGGTTTCCAAAGCTCTGCAGCGTCCGTTTATTGATTTGGACGACGAGCTCGAAAGAACTGAGGGTATGACCATTCCCGAAATAATCAAACAAAGGGGTTGGGAAGGATTCAGGGAAGCTGAACTCTCATTACTACGGAGGGTAATGACTGAAAAACCAACTGGGTACATTTTTGCCTGTGGTGGAGGTATTGTTGAAACGCCGGAGGCTCGCAAACTCTTGATACAGTATCATAAAACTAAAGGCAATGTCATACTTGTCATGCGAGACATCAAGGAAATCATGGATTTCTTGAAAATTGACAAGACACGCCCAGCATATGTTGAGGACATGATGAGTGTCTGGCTGCGCCGAAAGCCATGGTATCAGGAATGCAGCAATGTTCAATATTTCAGCCGCTTAACGGGTCTGGATGGGATGGCACAGGTTTTGGGAGGCTTCAATCGTTTCTTAAAAGTCATCACCGGACAGGTGGACAGCCTTGCACAGATGAGATCAAAAGAAAATACTTTCTTCGTTTCTCTAACGCTTCCTGATCTCGCGCCGGCTGCCCCTATCTTGAAAGAAGTCACGCTGGGCTCAGATGCTGTGGAGCTGCGGGTCGATTTGCTTAAGGATCCCCAGTCTGACAGTGAGATCCCATCTGTTGACTACGTCGCTGAGCAAATATCCGTGCTGCGTAGTCGTACCTCAGTACCTCTAGTGTTTACGATCCGCACAAAGGCCCAAGGTGGTCGATTCCCGGATGACGCATACGATGCTGCCTTACAACTCTACCGCCTTGCGATCCGAATGGGGTCCGAATTTGTGGACCTGGAAATATCGTTCCCAGAGCAGCTCCTGCGCACTGTGACTGAAATGAAAGGCTTTTCGAAAATCATTGCCTCTCACCACGATCCCAAAGGAGAGTTGTCATGGGCGAATGGCTCATGGATCCAGTTCTACAACAAGGCTCTTCAGTATGGGGATGTGATCAAACTTGTTGGTGTTGCAAGATCACTTGACGACAACGCTTCACTGAAGAAATTCAAAACCTGGGCAGAGGAGAAACACGACGTCCCAATAATCGCCATCAATATGGGTGACAAGGGACAGCTAAGCCGGATGCTAAATGGCTTCATGACACCAGTATCCCATCCTAGCCTACCCTTCAAAGCCGCCCCTGGTCAACTTTCCGCCAGGGAGATCCGAAAAGGCCTCTCTCTCATTGGCGAGATCAAGTCAAAGAAATTCGCAGTCATCGGCAACCCCGTCTCTGCCTCTAGATCGCCGGCAATGCACAACGCTCTTTTCAGACAAATGGGTCTCCCACATACCTACGGGACTCTAGAAACAGAAGATCCCGAGATCGTCAAAAAATTCATCCGCTCCCCAGATTTTGGCGGGGCCTCAATCACCATCCCCTTAAAACTAGACATCATGCCCCTCCTCGATGAAATAGCACCGGAAGCAGTGTCCATTGGTGCAGTAAACACCATTGTCTGCGCCCCGCCAGCACCAGACGACCAATCGCAAGCCCCGCGCCTTATCGGCCGCAACACAGATTGGCAAGGCATGGTCCGCTGCCTAAGCGACGCGGGTGCCTATCCCGCAGCCACGCCCACAACCACTTCCGCCGGCCTGGTTATCGGAGGCGGCGGAACGGCCCGTGCAGCGATATTCGCCCTTCAAAGCATGGGCTACTCCCCCATTTACGTGGTAGGCCGCTCCCCAGACAAACTTTCTAGCATGACGTCCACGTTTGCCCCGGACCACGACATCCGCATCCTGGAAGACGTGAAGGCGCTAGAATCTTTGCCCACGGTGGCAATTGGGACGATACCTGGCGATAAGCCGATCGAGCCGCACATGCGAGAGGTTCTCTGCGAGCTCTTCGATTTATGCGAAAAGGCGAATTCGGACGCTGAGCAGGCGCGGGGCATCAGCACAAAGCGGATCTTGCTGGAAATGGCGTATAAGCCGTCCGTCACGTCGTTGATGCAGTTGGCTAGTGATTCGGGATGGACGGTGTTGCCCGGCCTGGAGGCTTTGGTGGCACAGGGGGTCTATCAGGTAAGCAGGGATCAACTATCATTTGTTTTTCCCTCTTATCTTCTTTTTCCTTTTGTCGGATGAGACTAACCACGAATGTTCTTCCGGGAAATAGTGTGAATACTGGACCGACATTACGCCCGTCTATGAAGATGCCAGGGTATGTCTTGAGTCTCCCCTCCTTCCTATCGTTCATCCACTCCCACCAGGAAAACTAACCAGTCTTTTTTTCTTCCGTCTAGAATGCTGTAATGGGCGTACAACCGAAAGACGACGATATCTCAACGTAAGAGATGGTCTGCCATGCATACCGCAATACTTACTGAAAAAATGCCGTCCAAAACGTACCGGCTACTGAAGCTTTATTGAGGTGGAATTAATTATATAGTGAGGTAGACCGGGAGGGAAATGATTTGTTTGTTTCAACAAAGAACAAAGTGTGCATATATAAAAATTTTCGGATTTGGCTAAATGCTGGTGAACAGTTACGTAGTTTAACATTCAGGGGTTTTAAATAGAAAAAGCAATTTCATTATTTTAGCTTATGATTTTCTCAATATTCCAGTTTAGCTGTGTATTTTGATCCTCTTGAAACATTACGTACGTACTTTCTATAAATGCATGAAGAAGTTGGCAAAAAGGAAGGGTGAAAAAAAAAAAGAGAAAGGAATAAAGAGTAGAATGGAATCGGAATAATACAAACCGGAAACCGGAAACCAGAACACTCCCTTTGGCATATTAACGCTGAGAGTCCCAAAAACATCATGAGCATGGCATGTAATATATCTAAGTATCTGATGCAAAACAGAAAAATAAATAAGGCTAAATATATGCAGGAGACTTCCAAAAGTAAACCATTCCATATCCCGCTCCAAAAAAAAAAAAACAGCAAGAACCCTAAAAAAAAGGGGGAGGGAGATATTATACAATCCGTTAAACAAAACGTATAGTACATGGCATCAAGGGCATGGATAACCATAACCAAGGCAGGGCAGGTGGAACCGCAACTACCCCTCCCTATACGACACTCTGTCCAGACACATCCTCAACCCCTTCGTTCCCTACTTTCCTATTTCCATCAGCAGGTGCCATCGGCCCCTCCCCGTTCACCTCCCCGCCATTTCTTTTCCGCCTCTTACTAACCGCCAGCTTCCCCTCCATCTCCCGTCGCCACGTACACTCCTCGCGAAACTCGCATATTCGGCACTTCCACGCCTCCATGACCGGCACGCCACGCGGTTGCCTGTGTCCGCGCCACCAGTGCATTTCATCGGAGAGGTAGCTGTAGAGGGAAGAAGGGTTGAAGAGGAAGGAGCGGCTGCCGAGGTATTGCATGGATTCATCGGGGTTGGAGGGCGGGGTTAAATAGGTGGCTGTTAGGACGGGAGAGAGGAGAGTGGTAAGGGCCGGGGTGTCTTGTTGGAGGTCATCTTGGGGCGGAGGGCTGGTGGTGCTGGTGGTGGCGGTATTGGCGACTGGAGGGAGGAAAGTGAGGCGGTGTTGAGATTTCATGAGTGTCCAGAGACGGGAGAGGGAGTTATGTTCGAGGAGGATGGTCATTGAGTCTTGGCTGCTAGAAGGGAATTCTCCACCTTCTGAACCCGAAGGAGGGACATAGTCCGCATCTAGGTCTTGTGGCGCGTCGAAGAATTGTTCGTTTAGGCTGCCTACTTGTGCGATGAAGGAGTCTGAGAATGGCTTGTCGGCTTCGAGGCCATATCGTGCTGCGATGGCGTCAATGGTGACATCTTCAGAGGTAGAGAGGCGGGTGAGGAAATGATAGTATAGTTGTAGTTGGAGGTGGGTAGGGCGAAAGCCAACACTATTAACAGTTGGGATAGAACGGCTACTCTTCCCGCGCGTCTTGATATCCGTGATGTATATCTTCTTTGACGGTGGTTTCGACGTCGAAGACACCACATCCTTTTCAGGTTTCGCCACCCCAATATCAGACAGCCTCCTCCCACCACCAGCCGGAGAAAGGAAAAATTCAGTAATCGAAGTCTGATATTCCGGAAGCAAGGCTTTAGACGTCCTGAAGTCCGCGTAACTCGCTTCTGCGGATGCCTCCAGCTCCTCATCTGGACACTCATAGGACAGCTGGTCAATTATGCCTGTCACAATTTCTCCATCAACATTCCCCCAAACTTCCAACTCTCTAGTCATCCCCGAAACCCGCAGTGTACGCAACCCCTGTATAACATTCCATAGTCGCAGAGCCCACCCATCTTCTCTCGTCATAACCTCGACAGGGACAGTGATATGCACCTGATCTTCTAACTCCTTATGAACCACAGTTCCCTGCTTCATCGCCGGGGTAGCCCTCTTCCGCCCAAACTTTGTCAAGGTATACCAATACTGTAACTCGCACCAGGCAGGAGAAACTAGATCTGTAACCGACAAAGCTTTCCTAGGTGGTTTCCGGAAGCGCTCAAGGGGAGACCGCATATCCGGAACCGGCATGCCATCCCCATTCATGTTCCCATCTTGAGCACCCTGGTCCGCAGCTACCTGCTTTTGTTCCCGCTCAAGCTCTCTCTGTCTCTCTCGCTCCCGTCCCTCAGGCGAATTCGGGTGCTCAGCTAAACGCTTAAGTGTCAGAAGGGTTAGCAGATTTTGTAAGAATCGCCATGGGCGGGACCAACAACGTATACAAAGAAGAAGAAAAGAGGAATATTAATAAATAATAATGAACAAAATAAAACAAACAGATATCAAGGGGCAAACGCACCACCCCAACCGCCAATCCCCTGTTCCACCCATCCTCTACCCTTCCCGCTCCCCCACCCCGCCCTCTGCGAGATAGAATCCCACTTCTCCCTGCCCAGAACCCTAGAGACCCTATCCCTCGATATACCCGCATGATCCTCAATATCTGTCACCGGCGGCAGCGATAAGGACTGCAGGTGTAAATCCACAGACGCCTCGGAAACATTAATCGCAGCAACAGCACTCTCTATCCCTCCACCAGCAGGGTCAGAAGATACCGCAGGGGGTGAGAGTGCAGGTGTAGCAAATGCAGAAGGAGAACCGGAACCAGAGCCAGGGCCAGAAATTACACTCGTCCGCTCGTGGCGCTCGCCAATCCGCGCCAGCAGCAGATTCAACAGCTCCTCCTCGTCGGGGGAGAAGTCGGATCCGTAGTCGCTGCTGGCCGCGCTTTCGACTGTGTTGCTGAATGTATTCCCACCTATCAATGTGCTTTCTTGCGTCGATATTACGGGCGTTGGCGCTGTGGGGGTTTGTGGTAAGGATAGCGAGGTGGATTTCTCGAGCACAGCTGGTTGGCTCATTTGAGAGAACTGCTGTGGTGTTTTGTGTTTTGGAACGGTTTATTTTCGATTTTATGTTTAGAGTGGGCTTTTAGGGTACTTGGTTCATGGCGACGGATGCATATCATTATGATTCATTGTTTTTGTCCTCTGGTGGTGATCCCTGGCAGTTGAACTTCGTAAATGGGAATATTTAAACAGGTTTAGGCAGGCTTAGTAATTGGCAATGTCGCGTCGGGGAGAGGAGACGCGTTTAGGATATTCAACAATTCGCGCAACGTCATAAGAAGAGAAGGCAAGAAAGGCAGTTTATTTATCTTGTCGATTCAAAGATAACTCCATCCCCTCTTCATCTATAGGTATCAAATCTATATACATTTCTAACCATTCCCAACGTGCGTAAAGTACCCGATTGGGAGTAAAAAAATGCTATCTCATCAAACATCATATCCAACGCTACTATAAAGCCATTGAAAAGCGGGAAAAGACAAAAGAAAAAGTGAATCTAAAATGAAAGAATCCTTCAAAGGCATAGTAGCCTAGAATGGTAAAGCAGAAAAGTAGTCTTCAAAATTTCAAGCAGACACTGCCGCCACAGCAGCAGTTGCAGTCGCATCACCAACCCCTACCCCTCCCCCGATCTGCCTCTTCACAGCCAGAGTTTGCGCCTGCGCCTCCTCCGCGGCCTCAACGTCCCTCGCTGCCTTCTGATTCAGCCAGCTGAGGTACGTCTGCCACCCGACCGCAATAGCACCGGCAAAAATGCTCCGAAACTGCGGATCAACGTACATGAACATAAATGCCGTGACAGCCGGCCACAGCTTAGCGCTATTCATGATGCTAGTCGGTAATGCCAGTTTGAGGCGCTCCCATGTCTCCGTAAGCGAGGTGCCGGCAAGCAAGGATTGCATAGAGAAGAAGTATGTGTTGAAGATCGGGGTGAAGCAGGTTTGGTTGATGGCTACTTTTATGAAGATTGAGAAGATGCGGGGTTTGGAGGGGAAGTTGAAGTTGTTGTGAAGGAACATGAACCTATTTAAAGAGCAGTTAGGAGAATGTTAAGTGGGAAAACAATTTATTTTCCGAACGGATTTAGTAAATGGGGGGAGAGAATCAAAAAACATACCATTTATACCCTGGCACAGCGGCCAGACCACCAACTGTCAAATGTCTAACAGTCCTCAGCGGATCATATCGTGCCATCATCCCCTCCTCTCTCTCCACCTCATCATTAGCACCCCCTTTCCCCTCCTTCTCAACCTTCTCCTTGGTTTTATCTTTATCCTTTCCCCCACCATCTCCCACAAACAATTGCGCACTTAAATCCCCACATAAATATATAAGTAACGTACACCACAGCTGCGTCCAGTACGGTCTGCGACTTTGCATGCGGCTGTAGAAATCTGCAGCCCGCCCGATGGGGCTTGCTTGGATGATTTGCTTAAGGGATCTAGAGGTTGTAGACGAGGATGATGACGGTTGTGCTGTGGTGGTATTATTTGTTGCTGCTGCTGCTCCTGCTGCTGCTGCTGTGGCTGTGGCGGGTACGGCGGGATCGGATGCGCTGGGGGGTACTTGAGAGGACTCGCGGGTTGAAGCTGAGACTTGTTCTTGATCTTGTTCTTGCTGCTTTATGTCTTGCGATGGAGTGAGAGGAAGGTTACTATTTCTCAACTGCTGCGAAGATGCGGTCGTGGGCAGCGGCACGTCCACTCCGTCCAACTCTTTTGGAGCCCCGGGCACATATGAAGAAGACAACTGTGAGATTGGTGGTGGAGGTAGGGGTGGAGGTGCACCCTGGGCAAAGGACGTGTTGGGATCATGATGTTGGGGCGACGGGGACATGCAAACAGACGTCGTCGAGTACTCTCTTCCCACTGTCCTCCTCCTCCTCCTCACTTCATGGGTATGATATTGGCGCCGACATGACAGGTTATCCAGCTCCCTCGTTGCTGCTGGTCGGGTTGCTGTTACTATGCTAGCAGTTGCAGCTGCGACGAGGGTTCGTGAACCGCCCGCGATTATGAGGCGCATTTCGTCCCCGTCTATCCTCTCTTGTCTTCTTCCACCTTCTAGTATCGTCCGTTGTGCTTACCCCTTTACGCACTGCCCGGGTTTAGTTTTACACAGAAATAGATAGGCAAAATTGAAATGAATCTCTCGTCTCCTTTCGGACTTTTGCCGGAAACCGCTTCCCCCCACTCGGCTACACTTGGCAGATGCACACGAGGGGCAGTCTATCGACGGGACGGACGGGACTGAATATACCCGCTTGCTTTCGGAGATATGATCCTTTGCACTGACAGAATATGGGCGAGAGAGACGGAGAGAATAAAATAGGAACAGGATATACGAATAAAAAGATTGGGTATAGTTAACGTCAGAGGAGTCACAAGCCCTCGGCTCTCTCTGACGGCAGCCATCGGCCAAACAAATCCGCCGAAATCCCAGCCATGTTCCCGAAAGCTACCAAGAAGGGAAGAAGAACTCCACGCTGATGCGGGATAGACCGATAGCGGTGAGATTAGGATGATGTAGATTTAACTTTAACTACATACTGACAAAGAAAAATAAGTATCCCGCTCTTCTATCGCCGAAAATCCTCTATATAGACTATATTAATCAGGCCACCTTGGTTCGCCTGGTAACTACGCCGGTGTTGGCCGTTACAGCCGTTGCGGTTAGCGATCCCACTAGATCACATGACCCACCACTATATTATGTTCTTGTAGATAGATCTATCAATACAACCTTCAACTATTCTACAGATTATAGCCTGAATGACACATTTTTCTTTTTAGAACATTGCATCAACATTTTTGACACAGATAGTTCATCTTTTTTAAAAAGACTTTTACTCTTTATTAGAGATATTTCATTTTCTCTGAATCTGCTAATTAACAGATTTATATACTTTATATTTTTAAGAAAGTGTATTCTTCATTATAAAGAATATCATTTTTTTTTATATATATTTAGAAGAAGTAGAGTCATCTTAGTATGAGTAATACATCTATTACTTCAGAGTTCAGTTCAAGATTTAAAATTATATACTTCACTAAATAACTTATTAATAGAATAATTACTTATTATCAGAAGACTTCTGACTTATAAGATAAGACTAAGATTAGTTTTTATCAGAGTATGAAATTTAATGATAAGATAATAAAGAAACTTCAGAATAAAGAAAAACAGAGTTAATATTTATTTACAGAATTTATTTATTTTAACTTATTAAATTCTTTACTATCTCTTATTCTCAGAATACTGACTTTTAATAATAATCTGAATCAATCTATCTATTACACTGCAGATAATCTTATAAATCTTATATAAATAATACTATAGAATTAAATAACTGCAGCTAAAATTACTTAATATCTTATTATATCTATCTCTGTATAAAGAGATATTACAAGAGATAAGTTATAAGAATACTAGAAGAAAGTTAAATATACACTAGATATTAAATCAGTGATTATATTTAATAACTCTAATTATAAAATCTGATATATTAATATATTAATTAATATAGAAGTTATTAATGAAACTGATATTCTATTAAAAACTTAATAAGAATTCTCTTTTATATATTATATTAACTCTGAGAAGTGAAGAATCTGTTCTAAGTCTCTATATAAATATATGCTATTAAGTCTTATTAAAAATGTTTAAATCACTATTAAAATCTTGAAAGCTGATAATACTGCAGCTCTGTGAGATAAGATTAATATTAAATATATAATATCACTGACTGAAGAATAAGTTAATATCTTTAAGAAATTGATAAAATTATAAGTTAAGAAGAATAATTATCTTATTTTTCAGAGATATTTTCACTATCTTATTATCTATTATAAGAAGCTCTGTCAGAGTACTGAGAATATATATTATAATCTTTTTCTTAACAATCTATAAGATTATCAAAAACTGTTTATTAAGATATATTTAAATGAGTTTTTCTTCACTGATCAGAAATCTATTATTAATATTAATATTAATAATTTGATAAAGTAACTGATCAATTATATATTTAAAAAAAATTATTACTAAGTGAAAAAAGCAGTCTCAGACTGATTCTGTGACTGTGAAAAAGAATAAGAATAAAGATAAGAATAAAGATGAGAATAAAAGTATATCTGTATAAAAGTACACTCACTGTAGAAGATATAAATATACTGTTAACAGATATTTCATCTTACACTCTGATAAAAAGAAAAAGAAGAATGATAAGAAGAAAGAGAAGAAAAATGACTTAATAAGTTCTTAATTAGTAGTAAATACAGTAATTATAAAGATTGAGTTCTATTTCTCTTTCACAGTCACTGAAAAATCATTCTTTAGATCTTGATATTTGAATACATGTATAAGTCTGAATATAACAGATAAGCTTTATTCTTTCTTAAATATTAAATCTTTTAATGATAATATCTCTGTTAATTTTGTAACTGAGAGAACTAAGTTTGTTAAGAAAATTAAGACTGTTATCTTAAAGATTGAGAGTGATGATATTAATTTACAGAATATTTACTATATTTCTAATATTACAGTTAATCTGCTCTTATTTATAAAGCTTAAAGATCAGAGTTTCTGATTTATATTATCTTTTACTATTCTCTCATTTTTCATTTACAGAGCTCTGAATAGTGTTATTTTTCATACAGTTCAGACTGCTCAGAACAATATATATAAGATTAATAAATAAGAGTTCAATGAGAATCTCAATTATCTGAATAAGACAGTCAAGTATATTATAATATCATATAAGTATAATTTTAACTGAAAAGTTAATCTTTCTATAACTACTGTTACTACTGTTAATAACATTGATTCTACAGTTCTGAATACAGATCTTAAGAATACAAGAATATTAAAGACTTTTTTGAACTAGTACTGTAATCTCAGTCATATTCATACTAATACTATAATTACTATAGTCAAGAATTTTCATACTGAAGTCATAATTAAAGATTCTAAGACTAAGTTCTTTTGTAAGAAATGTATTAAGACAGGTATAATATAAGATTATTTAAAAACACTAATATCTAGATCTATTCAACTCATTGAGAAGGTTCATATTAATCTTATAGATAATAAATATATATTAAAAGATCTCTCTGATTGTCTCTTAGAGTTCTGTTAGAGAATTAAATACTGAATACTTATTATCTATAATATAACTCACTACTGTTGAGTATATTTTTTAAAGTTCAAGAATGAGACTGTTCAATACTTTGAGTTATGACTCAGATTTATAAGTAATCTCAGATATACAGTCTCTACTTTTCTACAGACTGATATTAATAATGTTTTTCAATTCACATATATATACACAGTTATGAATTCATATAGTATTAAATGAAAATCAACAGTATTACATTTACTACATCAGAATGATGTTTCTGAATGTGAAATCTACACTATTATAAAATGAGTTAGAGCTGCTCTTTTAAAAGATAATCTCTCTAAGAGATTCTGAGCAGATATTCTAGAGATAGTAATTATAATAATTAATAATACTCTTATATCTACAGTTCTTTACAACTTAAAATTTTGATTCTCTACTGTAGAGACTTCTGTGATTTCAAGTTTATATAAGATTTCTTAATGTGCACTTATAAATATCTCACTGAATATAAGGTATTTTCACTGATTAAGTGCAGAGATTTTTATTCACTTGTATGAATTTCAGAAGTCTGTGAATAAGCTTTCTTTATATATCAATTTCTATTATATCATTGAATTCAGTGATATATTAATATATTATCTATGATATTCTGAATCTGACAAGATTATTGCTAGTAGTAATGTGAGATTTTTAATTACTGAAAAATCAGTTATTACATCTATAAAACTTATTAATTATATCATTAAATCAGAATCTGATATTTATCTAATTAATAATAAAGATATCTCTGATATTGATAATCTGAATTCTATATAATTACAGTCTATGAAATTACTAGCTATATATACTTTAAGTCTTATTACAGATAATCTTCTAAAGTTCTATAAGAATATTACATCTCAGTCAGAGAGAGTAAAAGATTATTAAAAGAAGTTTATATAATATAAAATTACTAATCTGAAGAGATATAATATATAAAGTTTAATTTCTAAATCTGATATTCTGAGAGATAAATTGATTACTCTGAGCTATTAAGTATTTCTTAAGAAAGATAGATCTGTAGATCTGAATATTAATTCTGATAATATTTTTAAAAAATTGTATTAAGTGATTTGTAATAACTGACTTAAGAAGAGTTCTAGAGAAGAGATCTATACTTCTATTATTATTAATACTATTAATTATATTCTTTTTATAATAGCAGCACTACATAATTGAATACTTTGTTAAGTAAATATAGTGATAATATATCTGTATAAGCATCTCACTAAGAAGATCTATATAAGATAACTTACTGAATTTAAGATGGATTTGCTGAAAATACTTGTCTGCATAGTTAAGAATAGTTTATACAGTCTGAACTCTGCAGTAAAGATCTGATATAATTACTTAATAGCTCTATTAAGTAATCTTGAATTTACAGTCAGTATCTATAATTCAGTACTCTAATATTATATATTCAGATATCATCTCTATATAATAATCTATATTAATAATTTTAACATTATATTCAAGATTTCTGAGAATGCTGATTAACTAGTGAGTATACTTAGTAAGAAATTAAAAGTCAAGAATCTATATCAGCTAATTAAGTATTTGAGTATAAAAGTTAATTATTCAGACAAAGAAATTGATTTAATATATTATTAATATATTAAATATCTTATTAAAGATTTGTATCTTAATAATACAGTTATTATTAAAATATTAATAAAGAATAAATTCTATATTAATAATTTCTCTATATCTGAGAAAGAGACTGATTTTATTATTATTATTATTATTATTCTTTTATTATACTTATATACAAGCAGAGCTTATAATGAGTTCTTGTATAATGTTAAATACAGGTCAAGTGTTAATTATACAGAAGAAAATACAGATGTTGAAATCATGTCAAGATAATAAGAACATAGAAAAATACAAAGAAGTGACAATTAGATACATGTGATAATAACTTCTCAGCTCAGAAACATAAAGCAATTCATTGAAGCAATTTGTACACCTCTGTATTTATTAGAAACCTGAGGTGCTTGAGTTCCGGATTTAATATATTCTCTGTGAGTTTTGAACTCACGTGTCTTGGTTTCTCACGCCAAGGCACTACCGGGTGGCCGCATTAATCATTCGGCCACCGGGGCAGACTAGACTGGCCGCCAGGACTATAAATTTCATATTTGATCTCATTTAATCTGGTCTCATACATTTCTTGGCGTGAATCTCACTGAGACTGGCTATTAAAAAAACATGTAAAGTGACTATATATCAGATCTTAAAATGAAACCATGACTTGAAAAAAATAAGAAAGTGATCTCATTTAATCTCATTTAGTCTCATTCTTAGCATAAAGTTACTATTTTTAGACATTTTAAGGTTTTTTTTAAATTATTTTTAATTTTTTAAAAAGTAACACTTTTTGATAATACTTAAATAAGATTTAAAGTTATTTAAAGCAATAAAAATAATTTAAATTGAG